GATTCAACCTGTTAACAGCATAGTAAACCTTTACTAGGTTGTACATATACTAATTCACCTGAATCTGAACCAACCAAACGCTCATACACAACACAAAAAAAAAAGTTTAACCCAAATAACAAGAGCGATTCAGCTACTTTAAAAAACGCAAATCATCAGAGCATTTGAAAAGGAATTTCATCATTGCGTCTTCTTGCATCTACACATCCAAAGAACGCCTTTAATCAGAAAATATTTAACATAAGAATTAATAATAAGGAGAATTGGGCTAACCTTCAGTATACTCCTAGGCTTCGAAGCTTGTCACAGTGAGGAGTTGGCAAGTTTCTGTTCCATGTACGCCTCTGTTGTTCCACATTACAATAACGCCAAAGAATATTTTTATAATCTCTGATAACACTCTTCTCAATATTACCCCTTGCAGGACTTCCAACAGGGTATTTATGATCAAACTCAGAGGATTTCACATAAAACTCCACTCCATATTCCTCAGTCATCTTTGAAAACTGATAAGTATAGTTTCTTTGTAATGAATATTCAGGCTCAGAAAATGGAAGACAAGCAAGCACTATGATTAGCAAAAATGGTAACAGCTGAAGAAGCAACATCAGATTAGGACCCGTTGCTCCACCTGTATCCTCTCTAGCCTGCCCGCCTGCCCCTGCCCCTGCCCCTGCCCGTCTAGTCCTGTACACATGAGCTGCCCGAAACATGTCGCCTTGCCCGAAAAACGACCTAAAGATCTCATCAGCATCAAATTCATCTTCAAACACACTTTGTCCTGTTCTCCTTCTTCTTCTCCTTACATTATACTGATTGTTATACTCTTCTCCTTCACCCAAACCTGTTTGATCATATTGTCTTCTCAACCCTTCATCACTCAGACACTTGAATGCTTTGCCAACTTTCTTGAATGCCTCTTCAGATCCAGGGGCTTTGTTCTTATCGGGATGAACTTTCAATGATAATTTCCTGTAAGCTTTCTTGATCTCATCAACAGAACAAGTCTTTTCAACACCAAGAATCTCGTAATAATCTGTGTCTCTTCTGATTTTACGAACCAATTGAACATGTTCCTCTGTGTAATTTGCATCTCCATTCATACCCTCGACGTGCTTTCCATTCACAGGCTTGTTTTCAACATGATTTTTACCATTTGATGAACTTGGATTTGCAGAGTCAAGATTTTCACAGGCTACTAAAAGATCATCTACACTTAGATTATGGTTTAGCCTCTGAGCAATGCCGATGAACTTCATAGCACGCTCCTTGTTACCAGATGCAATCGCTTCTTTAGCAATGACAACACACTTCATTGCTTCATCCTTATTACCATCCATGATGATTGAAGAAAGGAGATACCCCACAGCCTTATACTAACCACTCACATACACGACTACTGAAAGCAATTTTCAAAAATTAGGGTTCGTGAGTAATCACAAAAACTGAAGCCAAGTACGGGGAAATTAGCATAATATCATTGACTTAAAGATCCCCGGTTTTATGTTTTTAACAAATATAGAAACATCAAAGCATCGGACGATAAATTAAATGCATCCTAGGGTCTCAATATGATAGGCCCCATCTGAATCGCAGATATTAATAAGTAAACTGAAACACAAATGATGACAAGAATAGGTATATAGAATTGAGTATTAAAGAACAGTAAGATAATCCACGTTATTCCGATTGATGAATGAATTTATACAAGCAAATACTGAACTAGAAATCAAATAATTAAACGATTGAGAGTAAGGAAGTAGAGGCAAAATCCGCTAACCTTACGTAAGAACATAAATCGGACGATCGAAGAATTTGAGATCTCCGCTACCTAAATCCTATTGCAGCTGTAACTTTGTGGTAGCATGTCATCCACAGTCAATCAACGGAGTTGTACTGCAATGGCTTCTCTCATTCGCTGAATGGTATATAACAATTATGGTCCCTATAGTAAACATAATTCACGTTTAGTCCCCTAGCAATGATAATTTGTAAACTCAATAGAAATTCATACCATTATTGATTGTCCTATTCAATACAAAGATATTAACATTTGGATGGCCGATTTAGTACTTGACATTTCCTTCCACACTAACATTGAATATGAAAGTATGAGAGAAACATTATGAGTTCAAGAGTTGATACTAATGAAATGCATGTGTGATTGTTGGTTTATAGTTGTCCAAGTAAATACTTTTAGGTAGTGTTTGTTTTTCGTCTACAGATCTGCGAGACCTCTTCTGTCTGCGCCGCGCAGATCACGCGCAGACATTAGTCTTCGCAGACTGTTTGTTTTTTTGAAGACTGCAGACCTAAAAATGTCGGCGCGCCCTCTTCTTGACGCAGATGTGGACCATAGTCTTCTAACATCTTCAGACATCTTCTAGCTTAAAAAAACATATATATTTTTATTTTTTTTAAGTTTTTTTTTTTAATTTATATTTTTTCCAACTTTATTAATGATAAACAATTTGAAAAAAATTACAAAACTTCAAAAAAAAACATTTAACGATACAAACATGATATTTTTAACAAATTTATAAATAAAAATTTATTATAATAATAGTCGTTGAAGTTGTTTATATAAATATGAAAAAAATCATAATATATTCTTATATTTTTTTACCAAAATTTTGTAAAACATTATTTAATTCAGTATCATCAATTTATCGAGAAAATATTTATCATTAATAGATTTTAATTGAAGAAATCGAAGTTTATTTCCATCCATTTATGTATTAAATTGTTTGATCACTAATTATAATGTTTAGTTATAACTTTGCAATCAAAGTTGTTGGTTTTTATCAAATATGTATGTGAATTAATACCATTTTTATTTTTATTTTTTATATAATTATACATAAAAGTTGATCTAGATTCGTTATATATTATAATAAAGTCGTAAAAATATATAAAAAAAATTGCTTTGAAGTTTAAAAAAATCAATTTATTTAGATTTCAGTTTATTTTAATAGCCCGCAGATGTTAAAAAAACAGTCTTCTTTTTTCAGACTGCAGACGTTTGGTCCACCTCTTCTACTGCAGAGGTCTACAGATGTGGTCCGCAGACTGCAGACATTTTACCTCAGAAAAAACAAACAACACCTTAGTTTATTTGAGATATTGTTGTTTTTTGCTTTGCAACGAATTGAATACCACGTTTTAACAAAAAAACTACAAAATAAGTTAGCATCGACCTCATGCACTTAACTTAATTAATGACAATAGGCAACGATGTAATTCTTGGAGTTACAACATATAATCTTTTTGTTATTCATCAAAATGGATGCAATGCAAACCCGATGCTTTGGGAAATAGGAAAATTATGTATACAACTAAATTAATGAAAAGAGAGCACAATAGTAACAATAACAATATCATAATCTCATGAGAATAGAAATAGAGGTAAGATGTATGTAGTCGGAACCACGTCGATATTTAAACATGTTTGCCCTTATGAATAGAAACGCTTGCAAATGGTACATCGGTTCCTAACATAGAAACATTTAATAGCATGTGACATGGTAAAGAAAGACATAAGCAAGTAATAAACACTAAATAAATATGAGCTTAGGTAAGCAGGGAAATACTTAACAAAAACATAAACTCTGTAATGGAATACTATCAATGAAGATGGGGAGAAATATGTCATAAAGTAAGTATGTCTAGTAGGAATAGTATCAAACAATGATAACCAATAAACGTTGTCTAATATCTAAATATATGCCATTCACGAATATGTTATCATATGCCGTATGTAAATTGAAATTCCTACATACGAATCTTTGATCCTACGGAAACAAAGTATTCCAAGTTCATTTGAAAATACGAGAGTTTCCACTCTTTGTTCATTCTTCATAGTTTAACAACACAGGGTGAATGTGAGAAGTAAAAATAAGACGAAAAGAACCATAACAAACACAAAAGATCCAACATCTTCGATTCTAATCACATGGAATCTTTTCATTTTCTTATGGTGCATCCTCTCTTCACACCAACAATAAAGATTAGAGACCATGTACCCACTCAACTATAGTTGTATTTGGTCTCCTAAGGACATGTTTGCCACATATAAATGACTAGAAATTAAATATCCTTCTACTTATCTTACTACATCCATATGAAACAATGACACATGGCTATTAATTGTATCAAAATATGACATGTGTGGTAGAAAGATAAAAAAATGAAATTAAAAAAATAGAAGGATATTTAATTTCTGATAAATGAGTTAACAATCATGGTCGAAAATATAGAACTAAAAGAGAGCAAATACGATAGGTTAGTGTAAAGTACATTCTAAAAAGTAAGGCTTAAACTTGTGAACAAACTGATACGTACATCTCTAGTCTACAACCCATATACAACTAAATAACTTATCTTCCTAATAAAAAAACACTAGGTAACCTCTCTCTCTCTCTCTCATTCGTCCAGGTCAAAAGACTGTCTTCTCCTCAAAGACTCGAGCACCGCCGCTGACTTCCCCTTGTGCTTGCTCACACCCGCTGTATTCGACTTAAGCTTCGGCACATTCATGGCACTAAGCGACGGTGTCCCTGCACCCTGGTTCACATCCCTAAGCACAGACCTAGCCGTCACCTCCGCCAGCACACCAGCCACCGCTGACGTCACTTTCGAGGTCGCAATCACGCTATTTCTATTCACGCCCTTCCCAACAGCTTCAGCCGCCGTGGATTTCGCCTTCATTGATTCGTATTTCTGTATATCGTAAATTAGCTCTTTCTGGAGTTGTTTATCGGCAACGAGCATCTCATCGATCTCGTTTTTGTAGTCTTTGAGAAGGCTTCTGAGGCATTCCATTAGGGATCCTGAAAGAGGGCTGTTTTTGCTCTCGAGGAGACGTTTTAGTTCTATGAAGATCGGGATTGTGTTTTGGATTAATCCCTTTTTCACGACTTGTGTTATCACTCGTCCTCTCACGGCGTTTTCTCCGGTGGCTTCTTCTTCCATTTCTGTTGATTCCACTGCTGGACCTTTGTTTGTTGGGATTTTGATTTCTTTACAGGAGAGAATCTGAAACGCATCCTGTTGTTTTGGATAAAAGAACATGTCAAGATATTGAAAAGAGATCAAAAGAATCCAAAATGCATGCATTCCACAATACCTGTAAAACAGATTGACTTGTAACATCGTCGATCTTGAGCATTCCATCAGATGCAGAAGCTAAAATTTCTGCACAAACCTTTGCGAATGTAGCCAAAAGATGCTCTGGAGCCATTTGTTTCAACAGGGAGACATATATGTGCATTCTTCGACTCCTCGAATTCTCATCATTTCCCCTTCAATTTTACAGAAAAAAAAAAATTGATGTATTGATGATAATCTACAAAAAGGAAAAGCAACATGAGTTTATTTACAAAGTGTTTACCTGATGGAAAAAAGACGGTTTTCTTTCGAGGAACTCCCGGAGTTGGCTTGCCCAGTATGGGCATTACAGTCATTTAGAACAAAGACGGCTTCAACAAAGCTGTTATAAGCTAAAAGTGGCGCCTTCACTGTCACAAGTTCAACATACAAAACTCAAAAGCATGAACATAGGAATTTGTTAGGGTAAGTAAAATATTAATAAAGTTACAAAAGAAGTTTTACCTTTTAATATATTCCCAAAAAGAAAATCAGCAAGTTGTCTTATTTTCTCTGATTCATCAACAAGTGATAAAAGAAATCGAAGAAAAAGGACACCTCTCCACTTCACATAATCACGCTAATTACAGAAAAACAAGTCAAACGTGTCAAAAATGTCTTAACAGACATGATTTTTAACATGGTTACGTGAATTCATCAAGTCTACCTGTAATAGCCTCGAGAGAAGAGTGAATGTCTGTCTTCTAACTAGTTCACAAGGATCACGAAGACATTTGGTGATGTTTGGTATATAACTGTTGATTTCAAAAATCATAAGTGGGTGTTTTTTTTAATACATACATATTTATATATCTATATATTATTAGTTATTAGTGAAACTAAAAGAACTCACCAATCAACCAAAGCAGTATATCTTACACAAAAATCCGCCATCATTACAACAATATTGTTTCGAAGGGCTGCACTGTTGCTCTTTTCCATCTCCTGCAACAAGAATGTTTCAGTTTTGGACTAAACATGGTAAAACTCAGAAAGCACAGGGACATATTTTGTAATTTACAAACCTGTACAAACAGTGGTATATATCTCTTTGCAAGTTTCCCATCAGCAAGACAAATCTTCCCCATTGTTAACCAAGCTTGAGTGTACAAAGAAGGGGCTACTTGTTTCACAGAAAGTGACGTACTTGCTAACTTTTTAAGTTTTGGGTCAGAAATGCCAGATGTGATAATAT